TCTGTCATGTACACTTACGGCTGCTGCGGTCGTCTGGATGGTGTGAGTGAGGGCTAAGCCTGGCTTTGTTACGGATGCAGGCATCAGTCAGCCCTAGTTCCCTTTGGCTACTTCCTTCTCTCTTTTTAACGAGACGCGTACTTGGGCCAGCTATGGCTGAAGGGAAAGGGCGGCAGGAAGTGTCCCTGACTGGGGGCACCGTAGCAAGTGGTGCCATACACGATCCAGCCTCAGCAGGCGGCAGCCCTGGGCAGATACCACCCAGTTCAAAAGGCTGCTTCTCCAACCAGCCCCGATCTGCACCTCCCTGCCAGCCCTGGGGTGGGGGAGACCGCCCCCCAAGCTGAGAGTCTTACTCTGGAGAACTCTGAGCTCTGCCCGAAAGATACAGGGGCCCACTCCGCCCTTCCCCATCCTGATCTGGCCCACCCGGGAAGCGTGCCTACAGCTGGGCTGGGTGGGAGGGGTGCTCTGCTATGTCCACATGGCTAGGCCACAGGCCCAGCTGCCTGGTCAGACGCAGTCCCGCTCCTGCTGTGTGGTAGTTTTTAGAGGAGACTAACAGGTAAGTCTCGGGTAAAACATTACGCTTCCTGCTGCGGTGGGCCTCGCCCAATCAGTTGGAGGCCTTAAGAGAAAAGACCCAAGATCACCGAGAAGGAATTCGGCTTCCAGACTGCCTTGGAATGCAAGACCACAGCTCCACTCCTCCCTGGGCCCAGCCTGCAGCCTCCACTAAAGACAGCACTTGGTGGTCCCCACGGCCACATAGGCCAGCCTCTCAGGTCTCTGTGTCCCTCCCGACCATGTGGGAGTGTCCAGTGCCTTAACCCTATGGTTCTGTCTGTCGGGGGAGCCCCAACCGGTCACTGAGGCTAGAATCGGGGCCTCGTTTCCCGAAAGGTGGAGTTGAATTTCTGGTTCTCCACGGAGTCTGTGCCTGGCGGCAGACCCGCAGGGGAGGACGGAGACCACACTGCCCTACTGTCCTCAGGGCGAGGGCAGATAGGTTTAGAGCGGCCTTGGGGCGGTGGGAGGAAGCTTCTCAGGCAGAGGGGAAGTACTCCCCAGAGGGAAAGGCCACATCCCATGCGTCGTCTCCCAGACCCAAGGCCCTCGTTTAGGCCATCCGGGCTGTGACTGCTGCTCACCGCATGCCTGGTCTTCACGTGGTGGTGGCTTCCCAGGGTGGCCTCTGGACTGGCCACTGTCATGGAGGACACTGGCCAAATCTGTCAGAATGCTGTTAGGCCCTGGCATGCTCGGTACAGCAGTGCCCACAGCCCTCTTGGCACGGCGAGGACATGGCAGAGGAGCGACCCCCCAGCGCTCCCCTCCCAAGAGCACGTGGCCCGACTCGTGGCCGCGCTGCCCTGAGCCGTGGTGCACACGCAGGGACTGTGCTTAGTAAACCCTGGTGATTTAATAAATAGCTCGGTACTCTGCACAGGCTCCGGGGCGGGGCGGGTGCAGGCGTGGGCCTCCAGGGAGCCTGCCA